CTTCCCAGAATTCTCCTTGTCTGCTTATCCCACCTATACTTCCTCCCTGGCTACTGGCCAATCAGTATTTTATTTGTCAACCAATCAGAGCAATACACATTCACAGCATACAGAACATCCCACAGCACCTCCCCTTTTCTGTCCTATCAAAAAGAAAGTGTTTAACTTTAACATAGTAAAATTACCTATAATAGAACAGTCATCAAGCAAGAACTACAGTTATAATATCTAGTCTATTTGTACTTGGCAAAATTAAAGAAGATCCTATATTTGTAAGTCTAAGTTTTCACATCTACCTTATCTCTTATCATAACCAAGGAAACCCATAATTATAACTGTCTAGTCTTCAATTACATCAAAGACCTCAGAGGGATATAATATTTCTTAAGTAAACAGGAAGATCATTCTGAGAAACTTCCAAAAATCTAGAATGACAGAGACAGCTGACTACCTGGACAGTTACCCAAAGTTCCTCTGCAATGTTGGGGCATCCATCTTCAGCCTACAGGCCTAGAGTCTCTCAGTGTCTTTTCTCTGTGTCCTGTAGAATGTCTGGCAGTTTCTTTTGCGAATTGAGACAGTGAGTATTTAGTGTAAGACAACTCTTGCTTGATACTTGCTATTTGGCCAATGGACAAAAAAAAAAAAATGAACTGAGATATTTTTTCAATGGAGGATACTCGAACTTTTCACCAGTTGGTATTTTTTTTTTAGAAGAAGAATTATAGTAAATTTTCCCCTTGGGGCATGAAATATTTTATTCTAGATTCCTTGATATTCTAAGTATCAGACAGTTTCATCTGATTGAATGGTCTCAAATCGAATCAAAAAGTGATTACTCTCCCAATGACATATTAGTAAACCTATATGTCAGAGCACCATTCAACACTTATCAGAGAATATTTTTTTTTCAGTAGATCTTAATTAACAAAGTCACATATGAACAATGTGATGGACTTTGGAGCATTCGGTCCCAGTCCTATTTTTTTTTTTTATTAAAACTCCACTTCATGAAACTTCTTCATAGTTTTATGTGGTAAAGAAAACAAAAACATTGTAATTGCCTGAGGCAGTGGATGACTGTAATGGAAGAGTGCCATCAAGACACAACACTACTGATACACATATGAACTCCTAAAAAGTGTGACGAGATGAAAAAGACCAGGCAAAATGCTCGCACTGAGAAGGGGAAGTGAGTGAAAGTCCCAAATGTAACCGAGAAGCGACTTAAAGGGAACCTCAGTTTCACCTCAGTGCACTTTCACTGAGTATAACAACTATACTCCAAGGAAGCCCCATGTCCAGGAGTAGTTGGCCAACAAAACAGACTCCGTGTTGTTGTTGTATTATTTGTTTGTTTTTAAGGAGTACTCTTTTGTGTTGATATTTCTTGCCTTATTGTTTTTTTGGTTGCTTGCTTTTATTTTTTGCTTTCAAATTTTGGTCCTTTTTTGAAAGAGAGGCAGAGACAAAAAGAACATGAAGATGGATTGATAGGAACGTGGGGAGGATTTGGGGACAGGGAGTTAGAGAAGAAGAAATGTGGTAAAATATATTGTATGAAAAACATTTTTTTTAATTTTTAGAAATTTTAATTGTGTCCCAGATGTTTGTGTGAAAAAACTTTTAAAGAAAATATTTCAAAAAATATATCAGTTGTGTATTTCTTGATGAAAATCTGAAGTAACGGTCCATACAGTGGCCCACGACTGGATTCCAGCATCATCCCTACCCTATGCCAAGCAGTTGGGGTGGGAGGAACACAGCCAAATGCACCAACCAAGAGCCCCACCTGGTGTCATAGGCATGGAGTGGCTGGGCACCATAATGACCCCTTTGTGATGAGGAAGCATGTCCCTGCCTAGCACCATGGTGAACTGAAAGAGACAAGAAGACCCACATGCAGGTCTGTGGCAGTTTGTCCTGGGCTCCAAGCAGAAAACTCACGCTCACCTGGTACCTTGCAGGATCAAATGGGCACTATTAGAATGAGCGAAGATGGCAAGGGAGCTGACCTTGACCAGCTGCAAAACACAGGAAAGCGAGCCCTGCACTTTATTTGGGCAACACAGCAGGCAGAGCTAACTCCTGCTAACAAGAGCAGAGGTGAGCCTATCCTGAGATCATGAGGGTGGGAGGCCTAACCCCACCCCTCATCTGCCTTATGGAGGCATGGGCTGGGGAGAGATACCCTTCCGGCGCCCCAACTATCAGGACGTAATGCAGGTGGGAGAGCTGACCCTGAGGTGACAAGGGTAGGCGAACTAACCATGACCCTCTCCAACTGCAACACTCCAGAGAGCAGGCACTGAACCTCATCAGGGCAGCAAAACAGAGCCAACCCTATTGTCAAAGGGATGGGTGAGTCAACCCCCAAGTTGTGAGGGAGCTATCACGGTTTCTCACCTGTCCTTTGGCGGCCTGTCCTGAGCCTGTCCCTCAGCCTCATCAACTGCAACATTTCAGAGAGCAGACCCTGCATCTCACTGGGGGAAAGTAATAGAGCCAAGCGTGTTGGCAAAGGTGTGGGTGAGTCGACACCGAAATCGTAAGCATGGAAGAGTTGCCCCTACTATTCCTCTGCCATGTAGCAGTGTGGGTGGGGGATAGATGCCCCCTTTATCCCTGCCTCTTAGTGTCTGCAACAGGCAAGAGAGCTCTCCTGCCCCCTTACCAGGTGTATCTGTCAGGGAAGAGGGCCCAGCTCCTAGGCAATACAGCAGAGCTTGCCTGGTATTTGGAGGTAAAGGTGACCCAGGCCTGAGGTTGAGAACAAAGAAGAGCTTTTCCCACTACTCATCTAACATGTGGCAACATGGGCGGAGGAGGGATGCTCTTCCTCCACCCCTTACCCATCAACACCTGAGACAGGTAGAGGAGGTGGCCATGGGGTTACAAGATCAGGAGAGCTGTTTCTGACCCTCACCCATCTTGGAGCACAGGAGGGAACCTGACTCGCAGACCCAAAGCTGAAGGATCCCCACAACACAGAGAAACAACAGGATATCCAAGAAGAGACCCGGTGAGGGCCCAACATTGGTAGTGGAATAGACACCAGAGGCCTCAAACCAGACCAATGACTCTTTGCAGTGAATGCTTGAAAGTAAAGAAACAGACAAGAGGGATTTACTGAGTGACTCACTGTGTCACACTGCAGGTTCCATGATGAGTTTTTAAATTATTTTACTTTATTTTTTCCCTTTCTTCTTTTAATTTTTGTTTTATTTGGGAGGTGAGTAGGTGCAGGGGTGGGGGTAGATGCGAAGGTATGGGGAAATGAATGGGATCAAGACACATGATGTTAAAGACACAGAGAATAAATAAAAAAGAGAAAAATATATATCAGTTCTGTATAGTAGTATAAGTGTGAAACGCAGCAATTTTACTGCTAACTCAGGGGGTGGTTATAGTTCAAGGCTAGGATGAGTTATCAAGTAAGACACACTCCAAATAAAACTGACCTTCAGAGATGGTTAAGGCAAAAATGTACTTCCCACGTGAGGATGAGAATCTGAGTTCTGCCTCAGAAATACTGGTCAGGAATACTGGGTTTAAGATTTATACCATTTTGTTCCATGAGTTAGTGGTGACTTTTAATGAAACATTAATGGCAAACAAAAATTACCACATTAATTTATAGCATGCTACTGTTTATAGATTAGTTGCCTCAGTTACTTTTACATAGTACCAGTTCCTACATATGGATCCTCATTTTAGACTTAGAACATATGTAATTTTGAAACACTGAATATTTTTCAAAAGATCATTAAGCATATCATCTATGTTATAAGGTAAAAACAATCATTTTGGCCATTTAGGAAGAGAAGATAGAACAAACAGTTTTTCAAGAATTATTTCAGGTCTATCAGAAATATTGTTAGAAAAAAATGGCATACAGTGTAATGGATGGAAAAATAATTGATATTATTTCTTTTCAAACTGTTAAATGGTATGCTCCATATATTAGTTCATCATTAGACTAGTTCTGCTTCAGAATTTTTGGTATTTTGAACAGAAATGATTAAAGAGGTTATTAGTACATCTAACAAGAAGAGGTCTCACAGTCTTTAAACATTACCCTGTCATCTGTGCCAAAATGTTCAGCATCATTATGCTTCCACAATAGCAATTTAGTACTGCATTGGAGAGGAAGTAATCAATATAGGCAAGCATTGCTTGCGAGAGCAACCAGAAGGGCTGCAGCATTTACTGTGATGCCTTTGTGAAATCAATGAGGCCTCTACATGATGCAGCCTCTTGGCTCAGCTTCGAATGTCAGTAAGTGCCATGAACTACAATTATCAATCTTAAGCCTGTTCTAATATTCACCTTGTGTGTTTGCAAAGTATGATTTGATTTGTAGCAGAAAGAAAAATTTTAAAAACAAAAACATTGGAAACCATGCTTCTCATCACTGCAAAATATTGAACTACATATGTGTTTAAGCCAGTAATATCATATACAAATAAGCATAGGTATTGAAGCAAGGAATGAGAAGGTTAAAGCATTTTTTCTCTGAAGCAAAATGTTCTCAATTACCCTTCATCCTTTTAAATTAGTTAATGACTGAATTTATTTTCTTTTGTCTCAAAAAGTGACATTTATTCAAAGAGAAAAGAAAACAAAAACAAACAAAAACCGGTATGTCCATCCTTTAGCTTCCTTCCCTTCCCCCTCCAGCTGTTCCTCAGCCCCCAAGGACTGAATCCTGGCTATGGCCAGGTAACAGGACAGCCCCTCAAATGAAGTCAGCAACATTGAGGGACATCTCTTCAATGGAGGTGTTGTAGAATGGCTCAGTGTCTCCAGGAGTCCTTTTGTCTTCTGTTATCATGTTAATAGCCACACCTTTACAGCCAAAGTAACCACCAGGAACTATTCTGTGGATGCCTTTTTCCCTGTTGGTGGGAAGGTTGTAATTGATGACTAGGGAGACCTGCTGCATATCAATGCCTCTGACCTACATCAAGAAAGATGACAGAGCTGTCAGAGGATAAAATCTATCTAGACTGACTAGGCATGCATGTAGGCAGCATCCCTTGTTCCTCAGAGACCTCAGGCATGCCAGGTTTTCTTCCAAGCTGCTGTGTTCCTGAAAAGGGCATTAGTCAAGCCCTTGGAGAGAGACTCACCTTGGACTAATAATTGGATTTCAAATTAGAATATCAAATGTATAACCATATTACTCACTGGAATCAGTACCTGACTGTGTAGGAATTAATGACAGAATGGGATTATGGTTGGTCTATAAGGGACAATATTCCTTTTTGTTTTGTTTTGTTTTGTTTTGAATACTTCCTGACTTCAATTTTCCCTCTTTCCACTCTTCTTGGCCTCTCCCAACCATTCCTCTTAGGTAGATCTGCTCCTCCTCCTTTCCCTTCAGAAAAGAGCAGGCCTCCCAGGGATATCAACCAAACACATCAATACAAGATACAGAAAGGCTAGACACAAACCCTCATATCAAGGCTAGACAAGGCAACACAATAGGGAAAAAAAAAAAAAAAAAAAAAAAAAAAAAAACATCCTGGGAGCAGAAACAGAGTCAGAGACACCCTCACTCCCACTGTTAGGAGTCTCACAAAACACCAAGCTGACACCAATAACAAATACGCAGAGGACCGAGCACAGATCCATGCAGGCAAGAATGGGAACAGCTCTAGGAGCAGGAATGGTGGGAGAAAATCTGGGGAGAGACAACTGAAACTGCAGGGCATGTGGGTAGGTGACAGGGACAGTATTCTTAGCGAACCAACTCTCCTTCTCTTGACAGCTATCAATTTTAAATAGCTCTTGGCTCGGGGTAGGCTGTTGAGAACAGAACTCAGGCATTCTGTAGGAACACAGGAACACTCTACATTCGTAGATACTGAGCTATCTGTCTAGTCTCCTCTGTTTATCCCCATTTTTTAATTAAGTTTCAAAGACCATTTACATGCAACATCTCTTGGAGAGTTCAGAAGATTTAGACTGTTTTGATAGTTGCCCAATATATCTGATGCTGAGCTTCCCTCTTTGACTTAAGAGTAAACAACCCAAACCAAAAACTCTCACAGACTGACTGGTTTTCAAATTCCTTTAATTCTGTGACATCAATGCTCTGCATATAAAAGAATTCAATTCTTCCTGCATGTTTCTGTTTCAGTTACTCACAATTTAGTGTCTGAATTAAACTGAGGATTCCTCCTGCTGACAATGAATACTTGAAATAATTCACCAGTAATTATAGCAAACACACTGAAATTTTAAAGTAGTTGATCCATATACATGCTTTCTTGGCTGATTCTTGATACAGCTTCATTAGTAATTTATACATTTTGGGTATACAAATATTTCCAAAGATTATCACAGTTACCTGTTTTATCCATTTAGTTCTCATTCATACAAATTTTACTTCCATTTAATTTAGGGAACATTTTGTCTATGGAATTTGTAATTTATGTTTCATTTTGATAGAAAGTCAGTTGAACTGTAATACATAAAATAAACATTGTGTGTAATGAGAAAATAATGTCTTAAGCTATAGACATTTAAGATAAGATTGTTTAATAGCAAAGTAATGACTTGCATCTGAGTTTGCAATAGATACTCTATGAGGTTTCAAGGAACTGTAGTGAGGAGAGTCTTAATAACCATTTTCAATTTATTTGGTTCTCTAAGAATACTGAGACAGCTATCCTCCATAATCTAATGATGCTGATCTTTATCTTTCATTATTATAAAAAATGTTGTCAGGAATCAATGCTTGTGACTTCAACAATCTGAAGAAATATCTGCTGAACTAATTTTATTTTAGTCAATTACATTTGGGCAATGAGGAATAAAAGAAAGATGAGAAAGATTATGCAGTTTATGTTGGGGGTGAAATACTGAATCCATTTCACTAAATACAGATGATTTAAATGCTAAAATAGAAAGCTATTCTTTAGGGTACATTATATTGTACTTTAAAATGAATAAAGGAGAGTGTTTTCTCAAGAAATACAGACTTATGTATGAATTTCTTATGTGCTTACACAATGTGAAATTTTATTCATAAAATAGGTATATATGCATGTATAGTAATAAAAAAGAGACCATAAGTTTGAAAGAAAGTGAGGGGACATGATAAGTAATAAGTGAGGACAGGATAAAGGATATGATTTATAATGATATAATAATATTTCATATATATATTAGTTTAGCCAGGCATTTTAAAAAATGGCACAAAATTGGAGACAGGTAATATAAATTTAAGCAATTTTTTACTTTAAACAGAGAAAACATAATATAAAATATAGGTAATGATCAGAATGTGACAAGAATACAATGCTTCCAGTTTCATTTTCAGTGAAGTCCACTGTAATATTCCATATTTTTCTATTCAATTGTGTGGAAATCAGTACTATTGATCATTTGAATTAATTGCTGTCTTATTGCCTATCTTATACCCATACATAAACATTAATCAAAGTGATTAGCCACAAGATGGAGTATCTTTTCAATTTGTACAAAACACAAATTTGACTAACTTCAATATTTTTGAAAAAAATCATTAAAACATATCTATCAATTATAAAAAATATAAATAAATGCAGTTACTCTTTATATTAATATATATTAATCATATTTACTGAGTTTATGATGAATGAAATTAAAAATATTTCACAGTATAATATATTTGCTCAAGGGCAATTTTTTTTTTTTTATACAGAACAGAAATCTTACCATAAGCCTTTTGAGTAAAGGTATACCTGATGGTCTGGATTGTTTTTGTTTATCTGATATATTTTCTTAAATTCCCCTCCCAGATGTTCATAATGAGTTTAAGATGCACATTTAACAGTTGTATCTTACCACCTGCTCACTAGACTTCTGTCTTGCACGGATATTAGGATTTTATATGGATTCTTCATGACCTGTCACTACCGATATTGTCAATTTTTATACAGAAACTATCTGAGCAGGCAAGATGTTTAAATGAAGACAGAGTAATGAGTTAATTTAAATTTCAGGAGGAAATAGATAAAGTAACAAATTTTCTTAGGAAAAATAAGTATTGCAGTTGTTTTAAAATTCACATTCTTCAATAAACCTAAGTAGATCTAAATTGTTCTATAATATATACAATTACAATCTCTTTTTAAGAGTATAATTATTTATTTGACAAAGAAATCAAAGAATTGGCTGACAGTAAATGTAGAGCTAATTAAGAAAGTGTATTTAAAACAACACTAAAATATGCAAAATAAGATAGGCTTCAGTTCTTCGGTAGAGTATCAGCCTAGAATGCTCAGTGCCTTAAGTTATGTCTCACACACACACACACACACACACACACACACACAAATGCACACACATACACACATAAATGCAACAAATTAGTAGAATTTAAATATCACAGACATGATATAAAATATACATATATTAAAATGCTCAACGAGGTTGGAGTGAAACAGAATAAAAATGTCACAGGATGAGATTCACATTAATCCTTAGGGAAACTTACATATCACCCTGATTTTCATTCATCTCATATTCCCTGTCTCCTATGTATCTTTCTTTCACATAATACCCATGCACATAAACACACATGCATTTAGCTTTGACTATTATGCAGTTTATGTTGGGAGTGAAATACTGAATCCATTTCACTAAATACAGATGATTTAAATGCTAAAATAGAAAGCTATTCTGGGGATAGTGAAGGATACTATCCCCAGAGAACATGAAAGGGCATGTCAGAGAATATTCCTAACATTTATGAATCACTTTCAGGCTACCATATTCAGATCATGTGAATAAAGGCACATGAAAATAGTATGAGTGTAAAATGCATAAACATCATTTAGAGAATATCATTAAAGCCTGTTTAGGGTAATGTTTGTTCTATGCTGGTTGCATTTTCCTTGTTCTTATCATTGCTATCCTCCATTATAAAAATTCGCTCTATTATTATGGGCTGTCTACAGGTTCACAAATAATTTTCCACTTTCGTGAAGAACAGAAGGCAAATTTTCATGAAAAATATTTGTTAAAATTATTCATCTCAATCTACTTTTGTAATTGAGAATGATAAAAATGCATTAAATATTGGGAGAGAGGGAGGGAAGGGTTAAAGGATCACAAAAAAGGAGTGCCATAATGATTATGATAGATAAAATATGATTTCTGTCTTTCCCAACAAATGTTAATTTAAATATGAGAATATACTGATAATTTTTAATCATACCATACCCTGAACATTTGACATTTAACCGACTTGGTCTTTTGTTAGATAACATATTCATAATTTAGATTCCTTTGTGTGAGCCAAAAATAGTTATCCACACACTATTCTAATTTTTTTAGTTTAAGTGAACTGTTTGTGACATAATATTAACTCTTTAAAACAACATACTTTTAAAATATTTTTATATTTTGAATTAAATTACCTTAAAATTGTGCTTGTTACACAGTTTTCTAGTAAATAGAGTATCGTTGGCTACTAAAGTGAATATATAATGTGGTTCTTATTCCTTTGAAGAGAATAACCTGAAAACAGCAGCCATCATGTTCTAATTAATTATATGTGTATCACATGTTAATCAGAAAATCACAGTGTGGCACAAGTAGTTGTGAATTGACAGAAAAAGAAAAAAGAAGCCAGCTGAGAAGTCAAATGACTTGGTAATTGGCATTAACGAATATCAAAGATTATCTCTTGTGATAACTGTTTAACCACTAAATGTACTTAAAGAGACATTATGTTCCCTGTAAACATGTCTTAGACTTTAAGGATTATATGCTTTCAAAGATTTGATAAGACAGTCATTATAATAATACAATTTTTTACAAAAAATTAAATATTCAAAAGGAACTATTGAGGACCACTATTTGCCATCAAATTTAGAATAACTTTTTCAATTATGATGTCTTTGTAGTCTTCCCATTAGTTTCTGATTAATGTTGCATTTCTATGAATTCACAAATCTCACCACAGACCACACATCTCTAGAAACATCAATAATATGGTATACATTTGACTTGAAGATAAGTGTTTCTGATATTTTTGAAATCATATTCCCAAGATGGGGACCATGACTAGGTGGGTAAAACACTTCCTCTCCATGCATCCTGGCCTGAATTCATATCCCTGGGACCCAGCATTTGGAGATTGA